ATAAACGAAGATGAACAAATATATACAATTGGTAAGGGGCAAGTAGACCAGGGTTGATCTCCCCAGATAATTGTGATGTTTACATTGTTAACCGTTGCGTCAACGGAATAATATCGGTCAAAGCAAGTAAAAGGCTTCCCCCTAGGCAATTATGATGTGTAAATCGCTAACTGTTGTGCCGACAAGAACTCACGGGAAAATATCGACCAAGTGTGTGTGAGGTTTTATTGACGGTGATCCTCACATAAATAAAAATATATATAAAGAATATAAAGTAAAAATAAAGTTAAAGATAAATGCATAAAGAAAATTAGTGTATAATCATTTAGAAAAAAAGTTATTGAAACATGTATTAGTATATATCAAATTGCTTATAAAAAAACATAAAAGTTCAACATGTTATAAGATTTCTTATAGACCAACATGCATATTAAAATTTTTCCTTAGATTATTGTAATTTAGAAGTGTGATTACTCCTGAGTTATCTTTAAATAAAACATTAAGTAGCTTTCATATTATTTTTAGTTTTTAAACATTTGAACAAGATAAACGAAGATGAACAAATATATACAATTGGTAAGGGGCAAGTAGACCAGGGTTGATCTCCCCAGATAATTGTGATGTTTACATTGTTAACCGCTGCGTCAACGGAATAATATCGGTCAAAGCAAGTAAGAGGTTTCCCCCTAGGCAATTATGATGTGTAAATCGCTAACTGTTGTGCCGACAAGAACTCACGGGAAAATATCGACCAAGTGTGTGTGAGGTTTTATTGACGGTGATCCTCACATAAATAAAAATATATATAAAGAATATAAAGTAAAAATAAAGTTAAAGATAAATGCATAAAGAAAATTAGTGTATAATCATTTAGAAAAAAAGTTATTGAAACATGTATTAGTATATATCAAATTGCTTATAAAAAAACATAAAAGTTCAACATGTTATAAGATTTCTTATAGACCAACATGCATATTAAAATTTTTCCTTAGATTATTGTAATTTAGAAGTGTAATTACTCCTACGTTATCTTTAAATAACTCATTAAGTAGCTTTCATATTATTTTTAATTTTTAAACATTTGAACAAGATAAACGGAGATGAGCAAATATATACAAGAGGCTAGAACAACCGAAAGATACAAATATCTACTTGTTAATTTTAATAGAATTCTTTAGTAATTTTTTCATATATTATTTTAATATTAAATTGTAGGTGATAAAATTATAATAGAAATTAATTGCTTTCGACCGTCCCACCGTCCCACCGTCCGAACGTCCCACCGTCCGTTCCCGTCTTGGTTAACTCCAAGCCCCGGGTCGAGTCGTGACACTTGATAAGAGCACCCTCTACCATAGCTCATGTACAGAAACTCAACAAAATGGGATAGTTGAGAGGAAAAATTATCACCTCCTAGACATTGCTCGCTCCATTAGTTTCAATCCAATGTCCCGAAACGGTTTTAGAATGACGTTATTCTGACTGCCACCTATTTCATAAATAGAGTTCCCTCTAAAATTCATAAGTTCTGAACCCCCTTAACCGTCTTGATGTCTTGCTTCTCTGCCAATCGGGTCTTCTCTACATTAGATCGCAAGATTTTTTGGTATATGACTTTTGTTCGGAACACTACCCCCACTCAGAGTAATCTTGATTCCAGATCTATATAATATTCCTTTCTTGGGTACTCCACAACTCAAAAAGAATATCAGTATCTTGATCCTGCCACAAACAAAATTTATGTGAGTGCGGATGTCTATTTCTTTGAAAGTGATTCCTATTTTTCTAACTCGGTCTCAAGTAAGGGGGAGCTTGAGTTCTCAAATATTGTCCCTTATCTTACTCCTGTAGATGTTCCCCCCCATTGGTCCTACTACTGATGAGTCATCTGTTCCGTTGAGTGCACCATCTCTTTCTCCCACTGTCTGTGTCTACACTCAGCGCACACGTCCCAATGCTTCAACTTCGGAGCTCGCTACCTCCTTACAGATCTTTACTCCACTCCAGGCAAATATCCTCAGCATAACCCCTCCTCTAAATCAGGAGGGTTCTCTGAGTAAGGTACGCAATCAAACACGCTCCCTCTATTCTATGACAAAATATGTCTCTTTCCACAATCTATCCTCGACCTACTAAGCATTTACTAATGCCCTGACGGATCATTAGATTTCAGCTACTATTGAGGTTGCTCTTGCTAATCCAGCCCGAAAAATAATAATAATTGAGAAGATGAATGCCCTTCAGCGAAACCATACATGAATCGTTTATCTTCCTCAGGGTAAGAAAGTTGTAGGGTGTTGTTGGATTTTCAGCACCAAATTCAACTCTGATGGATCCTTTGAACGCAACAAGGCACAATTGATCGTCAAAGGGTACTAACAAACCTTCAAAGTTTACTATGATGAGACATTTTATTCAATGGCTAAGTTGAACATTATTCGAGTTTTGTTATCCCTTGCGGTGAATCTGCATCAACCTTTATTCCGGCTAGATGCCAAGAATGCATTCTTAAATTGAGAGCATGTCTCCCTCCTAACTTTGACTCTACGGCCTCTAGAAGCAAGTGTGCAGGCTAAAAAAGTTCATCTATGAGCTAAAGCGGTCCCCAAGGGTCTGGTTCGATAAGTTCACAAAGGTGGTCGTGGATCATGGCTTTACTCGGGCTCAATCAGATCACACCATCTTCTTCCAGCATTCCTCTAATGGTCAGGTAGCTATCCTAATTGTTTATGTTGACAATATTACTCTTACAGCTATCGATCTCTCAGCATTGGAGTTCTTGAAAGACATTTTTGCTATGCCCTTTAAAATGAACGACTTGAGATCTCCCTGGTACTTCTTAGGCATGAAAGTGACTCGATCATCTCAGGGCATTTGTCTGTCTCAGCAAAAATATGTTATTGATCTCTTGACAGAAATCAACCTTCTTCAGTGCAAACCTGTTGTTGTTCCTACGAATCACAATGAAAAATTATCTGACATCCCCACTATAGTGCCTGACAACAATACTCTTTATCAGCATCTTGTGGACAAACTCATCTACCTCGCTCATACTTGCCCCGACATATGCCACCACGCAATTGGAATAAGTCAATTCATGCATGATCCCTATGAGCATCATCTCAAAACTATCCACTAGATTCTCCGCTATTTAAAAGGTATACCAGGCTCGGGTTTGTTTTTCTCCTGTCACACCTGTCAATTTATTGTTGTTTATACAGATGATGATTGGATCGGATCGGATCGATTTATAATCGACGTTCCACCTCAAGGTATTGCTCATTCGTATGAGGCAATCTTGTCCTGTGGAAAAGTAAGAAACAGTCCGTTGTTGATTTCAAGTTTTCACCACTACTCCACTACCAGCATCACAAGTATTGCCATCAACTCCTATATATAGAACTTTCGTGAATATCATTTTCCCCTTCTAACTTGTCAGATGCCTTCGGATGGTTGGATGTTTTGTGATGGTCTTCACACTTATGCCAAATTTCTCTTGACATTAGTACTCAGATTCTTAGGCTCTCTGCTTCCACATTTGATGACGGTATTTGGGGAAAGAGAACTCATAGTCAATTTCTCTATCCAACTTCCATTTATTTCATTATGGCACGGGCAATGCTTGCTACAAGCCAACCATTACCCTACATGTTAAACCTTCTCTCTTTTTTTTTTTTGAAAAAGAAATTTTTGTTTGAAAACTCTATTTTCCTATATTTTAGTTAGGAACTTTTTGTTTGTTTGCCTGAATATAAAGTTTTTTTTATCTTTCATGATGAATATATGTATGGTAGGTAACTAGTCTATTATACTACTCAATAAGCGACATGAACGTATCAGACTATCTTTGAATGCAAATTATTGCAAACTTTACTCTAGGTGTTCATAATATGCAAATGGACTATGGATGTGCATGCTGAAGTGGTATCCTTTCTTTGACATTTTATCCCTCCTTGGGTTATCTTCCCTCAACTCTGGGTGAACTACATCAACAAATCCACACTATTAGTTGTTCAATTTCTGGAAAATCATTATATGTGAATAATTCATGAGATTTTTGCCCCTTTGACATGAGAGATGGATTGACACTTCTTGTGGCTGTGACAAAGTGGAAGCTGAAGGCTTGCTCTCATATTACAAATCTAGAAAAATTTTGGACATGATTTTATCAACTGTTTCAAGGGTCATACGGAATTATGGAAATCATTCTCTAGGATTTCTTCTGTGAGGAGTGACTCTTTTGATCATTGCAAGGATACACAACAAGTTTGTGCTGTAAATACTCGTGGTCAAATATATCCTACCAACTTGCTAGGTATTGATCCCTTCTCATTAGTCCCATGGGGGCTTTCATTTAGATATTCCTCTAAATTAATTCCTAGGGTCGTTGATAGCATCCCCCTTACTCCTCTAGTTTTGAATGTTGGGTTTACCAGTTCCTCTAGAGATATGCTGGGTTCCATAATTGTCTGGCTTTTGGGGATCTCGTTGCTACTCATACTATTTTTTCACCATGTCATTCTACCCCTATATTCCCTAATGTCACAATAGATTGTTCTGAAGTGAATATTTATGATGATTCTAGCTCTATTTAGTCTTAAGTCTTCAGATCCTATCAAAAGTTTTGTTGGTTCAGTAAATAAAGAATTTCAAGTAGTGTATACTTGTCAAAGCACTAATTGGGGGAAATCCTTTTTCCATTATATAGATTTATTAAATATCAAGCGAGATGTAATAGCTTATCTAATAATTTTAGCATTCCGGAGATGGCTAGCATCTAAATGTCAGTATCTCCTTCGGGATAGACATCTAAATGTATTCTCTCTCTTTTTTTTTTTAATGTCAATTCTATGTAACTGTGCTTTTATGTATCTTTGTCAAATATTCATTGATAAAAAACTACAAGCAAAGAGACAGAAGAATAAATTGACATAATAAGATTCATAATATATTTCTAAGATTTAAATAAGACAACATAAAGACTTTTGTTCTAAATATACCCAATGTATTGAGAAGCTGAAGCCCATAATTTTTGAACGCATTTGAGCACTGCTTAGTTCTGGAATTACTAGACCTGTGACTGGACCTGCACCAAGCGCGAAGGAGAATATGTACCTACATGTAGATGAGAAAACGTCATTGCAATTTTGCATAACATATCAAACACCATGTCGATGAAAAAACATGCTCTTACAGGTTATAGGGACGAGACATCATGTGTGTGGGAGGATAGGCATAGAAACTATTATATCACATGTAGCCATCCTCTCAATCAAATAAACTTAAGAAATTTACTAACAGGATTAAAGTTTTAAATTTGATGTTTAAACTGGCTATGGATGATAGAGTAAGCAATAAAGTAACTAAAGTTGCAGGTTGTTAAAGCTGAATGCTTACGTAGGCACCAGTATGAGAATAGAAGGGAGAATAGAGTCATGCACACCTCATAGGTGGTCATCAAGTCGGTGCCTAAGTCAGCATAATGCCCCAAGGCATCAAGCAATGAAGAAAACACCTTCGATTGAAGAGAGGAGAGTATTTCAAAATGTTAAAGATGAGTAAAATTTGTATGCTTAAAATTTGGGAAGGAGATGAAAGAAGCGTCAAGAGTTTAAAAAATAAGAGTGCATAATAGGAGAGAGATAGATCAAATACAAGTAAAAGAACTTCAATTTTAAGCATGAAGAGGACGAGCCCAAGGGATAAAAGAAGTGATTGATCAAATATTGATAAAGATAATCTCTTAACCATGCATGCTGCAAATTTAAACCATTTAGTTTTTTAAACATCCATTTTAGAAACTTGTTTAAGGTAATTTATTTAGCAAGAATTTTGAACTAAAGTGAAACTTGAAAATCACCATTTTAAAATAGTCAAATCATGATTGCAAAGAAATCTACTCATGACCAAAATAAGCTTGTTAAAGGATATAGCCATTTCTACTTATTTATTCAATTCACTCGGATGAATACCTCTAATGGTGCCTAGCACCTAAAGCGGGGGCACCATGCCCGGTGCAGGGGCACCCAGACCTACGCGAGCACGTCGTAGAGGGAGTTGCGGGCTCCTCCCATGATGTCCTTCTTCTGGACTGAATCGATCAAGATCCGATATGGCCGATCGACTCTCCTACGAGGGATTGGTGCTTACTTTCCATAGGGGATCCAATTCTAGTTCTCAAGGACTTATACATGTGATTCTTGTTTGGAGGTTTTTAATTTTATGGCATAGAGATCTGTCAAGACAGCTGTCGATGTTTGGTGTTCGAATTCTAGGGTTGTATTAAAAGACGAGAAGGTACTCCGACTATAGCTCGTTCGAGGTAGTGATTTTCCTCCAAGGGTCAAGGAGATACTCCAGCTGTAGCTTGTTGCCGAGGGAGTATTTATCCTCAATCTTTCCTTCCCAGCACCCCTCACTTAGCTATCATGCCTCTTTCCTCACTGCAGTCACCTAGGACAGCTACCATTGCAGTTATCCTCTTTCCAGCCACCTTCCTTCCACAATCTCCGCAGTCTTCCTGAATTAGCTGCCAACCCTCTGTCTTGTTGTTTCCAACAGCTCACAGCATTCCAATTCCCCCATACCTGCTTCCATCACCGTTCTAGCTGTCTACCGTCGCTGTCGCAGCATGTAGCGCCTTCCCTTTGATGTTTTCCTATTGTTCAGCCACCCCAAACAACAAGTTGTTGCTGTTTGGACTGTTGTTCTGCTGTTCTAGCCACCCAAAATCGTTGTCGTCCCTCTTTCACACCCCGAAAACTCCTTTCCTACCTTGCCGCCATCTCTTCAATCCCCCGAACCATCACCACCATCACCCAGGATCTGCCCTAACATGAGTTTGTGTGTATGTTGTACTTCTTATTTCAAGTGTGTTTGATTGTAACTGCATATTTATTTTTCAGTAATAATATTTAATTTTCTATTGTTGTTTGGATTAACTCCAGTATTGTTTGGTATCATAGCTAGTCTAACATAGTCCTATCCTAAGGTTTCTAACATCCATGGATACCCAATCGTATCTCCAGCTAAAACTTTTCTTTCTTATCCTACATCACCTTGCACACCTCCTTCCACCTACTCACACCCAAAACCTAGCCATGCTGCAAAGGAGAGAATCGTCGGAAGCATCATTGATGAAAATGACATGATATCGTTTATGAGATAATCACAAAGAGGCGTCCACGGTATTTCTATGGATCATATGCAGTGGGAAACCCACCAACTACAACATAGGCTTGCCACTTTTGAGAGGAGGCAATCCACATGGTTCATCCATAGCCACACCAATGACTTGTTGGATAGAAAGAATGGAGCAAATTTCTTCCATCATACAGATTTCAAGGATAAAGAATCTCTACCTCGAAGATATGACATGAAATATCTGAGAAGCAAAAATTTTGAAGTAAATGTGGAATTGTCATATTTCGACGACAACATGGATTCAAACAAGTTCGAGTGATTCTGGACCTTAAAATATGAATTTGAGTGTCAAGACATCTCACCGGACGAAATGATGAAATTAGCTGCCAGCAAGCTAAAGAAGATTCCACTATGTTGTTGATAAATTTTGAAGTATCTACGCTTGCATAAGGAAAAAGATAAGATCACTACCTAGTTTTAGATGAAATGGGCGATGCAGCGCTAGTTCCTACCTACTCACTGTAGACCGAATGTTCGAACCTAAGTTTCAAAAGTGAAGAGAACACATCACAGGGCAACCACCACCTCTTACAAACAAGGTTCAACCTCAAGATCTTACAACCAGAGTATACCCAGGGAAAAATCCAAGCCGACCCTGCATGAAGAAAAAATAATTTAGAGTAGAGAATATGTGGAGCAAACCGGTATTCCTAAATTTATCATAGTAGGAAAAATGTTTAAAGTGCCACAAATTTGAGCATGGTGAAACGGAATGCAAAACCATGGAAATGAAATATTTCCCTAAGCAGGGAGCTATTAAAGAAAGGTGAGTACACAAAGGAGAATGATCAAATTCCAAATAATGACAGAAAAAAGCATAGTTCAAGCTGAGGCCATAAGGGAGACCCCAACAAAATTCACAATAGTGGTCCAAGTCGGTCCTAAGCCCAAAGAACTAACACCAAACACCCAACAATCTCGTATAAAAAAATTCAGACTTTTCAGATTTATAGACTCCTTCCTGAATTTCTCCTACTGAGAAAGACCCGACATATAAGAAATGGGGCCCTTTTGTGCCACATTTGGAAGATTATATGGAGTTATTTGGATATTAGATTCAGTTCAACAACATACCCTCCATTAGATGGCCGGACAGGAGGGATGACCACAACTTTAAAAATTATCTTAGGAGCTTGATGAGAAATAAAACTCTTCAATAGGATCCAACCCTATTAGTGAATAAGATGTCTCTCCTAAGAGGTTGCTAGTGAGAGTGGCGCAGCCTCCATAGATTTCATCCCAAAATTGATTTCTACTCACATACTTGTTTATCAGCTACATTTTGTTAAGTATGAGAAGTGAAAGAAGCAGGTTTCAGACTAAAGTGCTCGAGAGTTATATTGCGGGAACCAACATCTATATGTAACTCCACCTCAGGATGTACTAAAAGATGATGCATATTTATTCTATTACGACATGTTGTGAACTGTTAGCGCCCACATGAATGACTTGTCAGAAGATTGACATTCCCGATACTTTCAATGAGCCTGACCTGACTACTATGAAGAGATAGAAGCTTTGAAACATGATATGGAAGCTCCCCCAACACTATGCAGGGGCACCATGCCCAGTGCACCCGCGTGGGCACGCCAATAACGCAATGAAAGGAGATGACGAAAAGACTAGATAGCAAGTTCAGGAGAGGGAAATGTATATAATAATAAGAGAAGTTAATAAACTCAAAAAAACAAAAGTAAAAAGTAAAGATTATCCAACACCAACACGGTTCAGAAGTAGAAGCCCTTGGCAACAGCTATTGGATAATTGATTGGTTGCTACTCAACAATAACAACAACAATAACAAGCCTTAATCTCACTAAGTGGGATCGGCTACATAAATCCTTTTTCTACATTGCACATACCGAGTGTCATATTTTCATTTAATTCTAATAAATTAAAATCATTTTTTATAAAATAAAAAATGAAGCCTTTTTAGGTTTACCTGGACCTTTCTTAACATAACTTGAATCTAAAACACCTGCTTTTCTAACCAGATCATGAGATTGACGACGTTTAATTTGACCAAACAATCTAAAGATGACTCTCTAATCTTGTCTGCCACTGGAGCTAGACCAACCATTTCAGTGATACATTTGTTTCGCATTTTATCTCTAAGTGTCAAGTCATTCATCCACCTAACCATTTTCATCTCAAAAACACTTAGTTTTATGCTTCTATTTTAAAAGCCAACATTCTGTGTCATAAAGCATTGTAGGTCTCACCAACATCATATAAAATTTTCCTTTTAAGTCTAAGCGATACTTATTTATCACACAATAACATCCCCATCCATATCACCATCACTTTGAACAATAGACCCAAGATATCAAAAGTGTTCACACCTTTTAATGATTTGACCACCCATAGTTATAACTCTGCCACAAGAACTACTACTAAAATCACATTTGATGTATTCATTTTTAGCTGCTCAAACAAAGATCTTTAGACTATAATATAGACCTCTATAATTCAAGTTTTTCATTAAATATCTCTCTAGTCTTATCCACAAGTATGATATCATCTGCGAAAAGAATACAGAACTAAAGCAAAAAGATATATGCTTAAAGCCGATCCTTAATGTAATCCAACTGAAATAGGAAAAATAATTGGTCAATCCTCCCTCCGCTCAAACAGAAGTAACGACTCTAGTACACATATCTTTAATGACTAGAATATAAATCATATCAACACCTTTCTTTTCTAGAACTCTCCAAAGAAATTCTTTTAGAACCTTACCGTAAGCTCTTTCTAAATTAATAAAAACTATATACAGATCCTACTTACACTCTTTGTACTTCTCCATCAACATCTCGATTAATGTATAGCTTTCATGGTAGACTTGTCCGACATAAATACAAATTGATTATGAGAAATCTTTGTATCACGTCTTAACCTATGTTCAATTACTCTCT